TGTGTGTGTGTGTGTGTGTATGTGTGTGTAGTTGTAGTCTGCAGTAGTTGCATCACAAGAAAAGATTTTTTTGTTTTCTTTTTGTAAATGGATTTCCATTTTTATACAGTAGGATAAGGACCTGCTTTGTCTGCTTGTGAAGTGTATGGTAGAAGTTAGTAAGTAAAAAAGTGAAAAAGTTTACATTTATTTCTATAGCGAGTTTAAGGATTTAAAAAATAAAAGTAAAATAAAACAGTCACAAAGTGGTTTACAGAGGAAAAGCAGCTTGTGTAAAGTTAACCATGACACACATGTGCCCAGGCACTGAGACAGTGTTTAAACCTGTTTAAGGTGTGAGGAGTGGGTGGCTTGTAGGTCACACTAATAAGTGAGAATGTAGTAATGCCTTATAGCTCCACAAAACAAACAGCCCAGGAAAATGACTTGAAATGGCTTCATGCAGCTGTTTACCCGAAACAACAGTTTTCCCTGTCTGTACTGTGCTGTGGTTATATACTCTGGAGCACCTCTATGGCTCCAGTTTACAACTGTGAAATGTGGATCAGCCGTTCACTCCTGTACAGGAAGTGTGGACCGACTGTCCATTTGAAATGTTTGAGTTTCTGATTCCAAAGGGTGTACCCCAACAGCAAGTGCAGAAACTGGGGAGTAGATCCATCTAGATCACAGGTGTCTAACTCCAGGCCTCGAGGGCCGGTGTCCTGCAGGTTTTAGATGTGTCCTTGGTAATTTGGTCATTTAAATGTTCCTCCTCAAAATGTCTCGAAGTTCTCCAGAGGCCTGGTAATGAACTAATCATGTGATTCAGGTGTGCTGACCCAGGGTGAGATCTAAAACCAACTCTAAAGCCCTCGAGGCCTGGAGTTTGACACCCCTGATCTAGATGATGAAAATCTAGTCAAGTGCAAGTAGCCCTCCTGATTATAGAGCCTAAAAAGGCTAGGTTAAAGATTTACAAGTGTCTACAAATTTAGACTTTAAAGTGCAAAATATTGTATTTAAGCAAATGATAGGAATCATGTAATTAAATCACCTGATTGTATTCTAACTTAACTGCTCTAACTAACTTTATCCTAATGCTGATTTCTGAAACTGTTCTTGAGCTGAATGAAACAGAAGAGGAAGCATGCCTTGATGAAATCCTTTCCTGCCATGCCCGAAAGTCCAAATGGGGAAGCAGTGACTCATTACCAACTTCTCAGTTCCTTTCATACTTTAATTCAACATGACAAAAAATAAGTAGAGAATAAGCCAGAAATTAAACTAATGTTGGGTCGTTGTTAATGCTGCTCACTGAGTCCAGTCTTCTTCTGATGTGACAATCTGCTCAGCTACAGGAAAGTAGAAGAAGAACCCGACCCTCCCTAAACAGCTCATATAACCACATGCATCGTCTATTCACAGACACACACACACACACACACACACACACACACACACACACACACACACACACACTTGTACATTCAGCAGTTTCTCACAGTATATCTCGACACTTCCTTCTCTTCAGCTCAACAAACAGCTCATATCTTTGTACTTCATACTCATTCGTTACAGAGCAGTGTTTGACACCAACACCACAGACTGTGACAGCGTGGAATCCCCACAGAAGAAGAAGATTCTTGGAAAGGGTCCAAATCAGGATTCAGTCAATGGCAGCAAATACGACGAGATGGCAGCTCCATCAGTGCTGTCATAGATTTGATGTTACACACACGTTTCATTAAACCAGTTCTTCTTTCCAATGACCAACAGGGGGCGCACTCCTCTGGCTGGTATAAAGATCTGGTTGTATAGAAGTGTATGGTAAAATGTTTGTAAATGAAAAAGTTTATATTTATTTCTATAGCGAGTTTAAGGATTTAAAAAATAAAAGTAAAATAAAACAGTCTCAAAGTGGTTTACAGAGGAAAAGCAGCTTGTGTAAAGTTAACAGTGTTTAAACCTGTTTAAGGTGTGAGGAGTGGGTGGCTTGCTGCTCCACAGTTTTGGAGCTTTAGTAGATTAAAGTATATGATATCTAAAGATGGACACTCACATCCAATCTGGTCTGAAGGATGAACATTGTGAGGTTCCACAGTCAAAGTCTACAAAACTCACATAGACCAAGAACACCAAGAACACTAAACTTTAAGCAGTATGCTTGACAGAGCTTTGTATGTGTTCTGTCTGTAGCTGCCCATATTCACTATGTTTTCCACTTGTCTGTACCCTATCTCCATCGTCTGAACTGTAATACACACTGTCAGTCACTGGACACCACATATACATGAATAACAGAGAATAAAGAACCATCCAATACACTTTTTATCACATTAAATGCTTACATTAGAACACCCTTTCACACATTCAGAACTTGTAAGGACTAATGTGAAATATCAGAGCATCACAGTCGCAGGTGTCAGAGTGTGGAACGACTGTGTAGATGAAGTGAAAAGAACATCAATACACATCTCTTTAAAAACATTGCATCCATTCGGGAAACGCTGTTCTCAGTGATCGAGGTGTCCCACTGTATTTTAAGATCGAGGTCCAACATCTCTAAAGTTAGAAACATCCTGTCTCAGAGTGACGCTGAAAAACTAGTTCATGCATTTATTACTTCCAGGCTGGACGACTGTAATTCATTATTATCAGGAAGTCCTAAAAACTCCCTGAAAAGCCTTCAGCTGATCCAAAATGCTGCAGCAAGAGTCCTGACAGGGACTAGAAAGAGAGAGCAGATTTCTCCTGTTTTGGCTTCCTGTTAAATCCAGAATTCAAAATCCTGCTCCTCACATACAAGGTCTTAAATAATCAGGCCCCATCTTATCTTAATGACCTTGTAGTACCATATCACCCTATTAGAGCACTTCCCTGTTCAATATTAATACTATACAAAGAATAAAACTACTTCTACTAAATGTAAAACTGGAATCCCATTTTCTCAAAGTTCTGCTTCTTTGGATTGGTAAGAATACATCACATGAACAAAGGAGTGAATGTTGGCAGCGTAGTGAAGCAGAAAACGTTGTTGTAAGAGTTTTTTATTAACCTGCCTATCAATCTGTTTTCCCTCTTCATGCCTTTTCCTCTTTTTCCTTCCCTCTTCTCCTTCTTCTCACCACCATCTGTTTCTTGTCCTGCAGCATTCCTGTTCTTCCCAAGAGGATTCTGACATGTGGTTTTAATGAACTAACACGCAGTTACTTTTATCTTTCCCTATCTCATTGTGTTCTCTGTTCCCCGATGCATGAGAGCCTTTCCAAACAAACAGCACATACACACACATACGTATGTGGGTCTGTGCATAGCCTTTTTCTTTTTTAATCTGCTTTATCTTCCGGTTGGGTATGTTTTTATTTTTTTAGCCGCACTTGGGTTATGTTTTTAGTGGGATTAAGAATAAATCTGACTTTGAGTTCTGACCAGAACAGAGCTGATTTTTTTGTTTGTTTGTTTTTCTGGCAGAAAAGAGAAATCAGGAAGAATAAATCCCAGAACAGCAAAAGTACTCTAACAACTGAACGTTTGGCAACATCATAGCGTGTTCCTATTGTTCTCCATTTGGCCTCCAGATTGTGCCCCATGTCTTGTAGACGGACCCCACTTTGTGATTAGTAGACTTTTCAAATTTGGCAATTAGTGACTCATCATAGTTCTGATCTTCATATAAGCATAAGACAGCATGCAGATGTCTCTGTGTAGCATACTGAGTACCAGGTAAGTGTGCAGGTTAAAGACTTTGTCTGCAAATGAAGTGGTCTCCTGTTTACTCCCGTGTAGCCGAGGATTTCCTTTTCACAGTGGGAGAGTTTCTTTTTAATGTTTTGTAAAGATTTCAGGTGCATGTGATTATAACAGTTCATCATATTTATGTTAACCTTAATCATACTGTTACACTGGTTTTATTGTTTCATATTTAAGAAGCGCTTTACGCTACATCCAGTCATCCACCAATTCTTACACTGGTGTGATGTTTAGGTTAGTCTACCAGTAGCACTTAGTGAAGCTCTTAGTCTCATTGTTATTTCTGAACTGTTTGAGAACTGATTCTCACCTGCCTGTGTCCACATTTGTGTGGATATACTGTCCATACTGCAGTTTGATATACTGTTTCCTGTCTTGCAGTGACATGGCTTCTGAGGGAGCAAGGTTACGTCGCCTCTTTGCCTGGTTTGACCCTGAGAGTGTTGCGGTGAGATTTAGACACAACTAAGCTGCTTGACTGAAGCTCACTTGTAACTTCATATATATTATTCAGTGGTTGTCTTTTGCGCAGGTGCTCACCATCCTGTTGGGG